ATGATTTAATTGTATTACTTTTGTCTTTATAGTAATGGTACGAATAAAATACTCATACGAGTCGAATTGTATGGTACTTTAGTTCCACTCGATTCATAACTCAAATTGTTTGAGCTCAAATCGAATTTGATTAACTTACGAGAACAAATATCTCATTTACACCCTTAATTCTTTAAAGTCTGTCCAGTTTTCTCAACCCATACGTTTGCATATGGAGAAAAAGACGGCATTTGTTTAAACACACGAGCGCAGTGTCTGGGAAAAGTATGTTTTGATGTTGGGAGTGGATGAACAACCTACAAAGCTTTTCAAAAGTTAGCTCTTTTTGCTCAAAGATCTTGCCTTGATTTCAACCAACACCACCATTTGTAAATTTCCATGCCAGTCGGAGTTTGCAGCCATGATCATATTCTGACATAAAGTCAATCCCAAAATGAAAAATATGTACATAATGACTATTTTATAGTACCATCTACAAGCAAATTGTACTATGGGAAGAACAGCTAATTAAACTGCATTGATGCAAATGGGCAATTTCCAGGAAATTTCAGGCTTTTCTATACATTATGGGATCTGGTGATTTGGGTTTTGTTTGGTTGGATGGAAAATGGAAGGAGGAAAGGAAGAATTAGAAAAATGAAAAGAAAATAAATGTATCAAATCAAACTTTAATTAGCTTTCTTATTCATTTACATCTAAAAGCGGAGCAATATCCCTAATTTCACTCTTAAACATCATGGTTTTTGGCCAAAGTTTTTGTTCTTACGTGCTTTGCTTTACATGTGGGGATTCGGGAAAATCAAAGGAGTTATTGGCCCCACAATCAATAAAACAGAGAGTAAAATACATAAATAGTCTCTTTACTATAAGTGCACTTTATTAAGTAATCCTACTATAAAAAGTTAAAAATATCCTCTCACTATAGAAAGTTAATTTGTTGAGTCTATTGACTATTAAAAGTTATAAAATGGTTATTTGACTATTTATTATGTTCCAAACTCTTCATTTTCGGTTAAAAATTTAACGCTAGTATGAGTTGTAGATTAACCTGCTGACTGAGATCATGAGATTAGATTTTATCATATCTCAGTCAGCAGGTTAATCTACAACTCATACTAGCGTGACTCAACAAAACAACTCCCTATAGTCAGAGGGTCATCTTATAACTTTTAATAGCCAAGGGACTTAATAAAGTAATATACAATAGTCGTGGATCATCTGTGTATTTTACCTAATAATTTTTTAATGAAATTAATTTGCTATTACCTCATATACCAAAACAAGAGTAAAAAAATAGTAGTTAAATTAACTAATGCATTCATGATTTTAGTACAATTATATGCCCTAACAATGTCAGCTGGTTTCGTAAAGGGCCAAGGCTTAGGGGAATCAAACGGTCAGGCCATTAAGCCTATCATGCAAGCAAGCCCAATTTAGCAATCACAAAATAATTTACATGAAATAAATACATTATTAAATTTCTTATTAAATTAAATTAATCTGATTACGTCATGATTACACTAAAATTACCAACACATTTTAGAATATAATATTTCTATCAACAAGAACATTACTTATTACATAATCATCCGTATAAGATGTTTTAACTGATAATGCTTTTGTCAGTAATTGAAGTTTAAAGCAGAGTTATTATCGTGTGAATAAGAATGGTCATCTTAATTAATGTATTTGGACAACTTTTAAATTATAATCTAATCCTCATTATTTTCTGGATCTATCTCTTTATTTCTTTACCAACTTTAGGTAACATCCAATTACCCAACCACAATTTACAAATGTATTAAATATGTATATATTTCTCTCTCGAACATGTCGATTTTATTTCTCAAATTTTGGGATGTGTTTGACAATTTAGAAAATTAAATATTTAATTCAAATTATAAAAAATATTTTTTATTTTATTTAAAATTAAGTTTAAAAAATAACTAGGTTTTTATATATATATATATATATATATATATATATATACAAAAATATTTTTTATTAAATGAAAAATATGTCATTATCTGTTTATCATTTTCTATATATATATATTACTTGGTGGGATGAAATGAAAATTTAGGTAGGATAATAAATTATGAATTTTGTTGTTCAGGTAAAGCATTAAGGGTAAACTACACATTCAATACATAAACTATTAGTTTTGGTCTGCTTTCAATTTTTTCAAAATTATATCTAACGTTTAGTTTTTATTTTAGTACCCGTCGTTAGAAACTTAACGTGATTAGTACCTAGATTATCGGTTTTGATCCGCTTTAGTACATAAACTTTCAAAAATTTCAAAACTTAACTTTAAATTTTGAACTTGGTACTAGAATGAAAAAAAAACTAAACTAAACTTTAGGTATGATTTTAAAAAAAAATTAAAAGTTTAGGTACTAAAATGGTTTAAAACTGTTTGTTTAGATACTAAATGCATAATTTACTCAAAAATTAAATAAGAGTATTATCATTGACGAATGAAATACGTATTGAACCCTATTTGGGGATTTTAGTACGTGAAGGAAGCTTCACATATCTGTGTAGCAATATGTCCACCATAGGGAATGGTCCTTGCCCCAATTGGATAATATTAAAAGAAGGGCAGACTTTAAACCATTTGCAATCACAATCTCACTTCAAAAAGAAAGTTCATGTGCATGTGGATGAAAATGACATTTTTGGCTCAAGAACTAACTCACTCTAGATTACAATATACTTCCCATCTCATGAAAATGATGCAAAACACACATCAAACCATATACATATATGATGCAACAAGCAATTAAATCATTCTTTTTCTCTTTGGATCGACTTGTGAAAGAGTAATATTATTGTAAATAACTGCAAATTATGAACTCATTAAGTGGTCTCAGTGATAAAATGATGTGCTATTTTTCTTAGAAGTCTAAAGTCCGAGTTATTGTTTCGGTAAGATGTGTATGATTTATCAATAACTAAGAAAGGTTCCAAATAGATGCTATCATGTAATTATTGCAAATTATTTTAATATATATATAGGGACAGAGCTCCCTTAGGGCCCAAGGGGCCCCGACCCCTGTTAAAATTTATATATTCGATATAATTTTGGTTTAATAGTATTTTGGTTTATGTAAAAATAAATATTTAAATTTAAAAATATAATTTTTATTAAATATTTAATCAAGTAGGGTCGAACTAAAGAACGATAAGTCCGTGTTTTTAAATTTTTGGACTAATTACAATTTAAGTCATTGTAAGTTTAAATATTAGACAAATTAAAAGTTGTCTTTTCAGTTTTGAGTTTTTTTTTTAAATTTAGAGTGAATACAATATAATATATGTATAAAGACTTTCAACTATTTGACAATGAACGCTCATATCCCTATATACGTGCTTGAACTCGGGGCCTCAAGGATAACAACAATCCCTTAATCACTATGGTCGCTTGGTTCATGTTGAATTTCGAGTTTAAATGTATAATAAGTCTTTATATACTTTTAAATAGTCTAATATTTCGGTACTTGTTAATATTTAATTCTGCCTCCATATATATATATATATATATATATATATATATATATGAAAATTGAGTCTATAATATGTGAATGATCAACAATGAAATTATCTTTGCTCAACAAACCTAAAATAAAAGCACGATCTCATGCAATTTGCAATAGTTTTGTCGGCATTATTTTAGGGGATTTTTTTATCATGATTTAATGGGTTAACCTAACTTCAAACCAGTATACATAGACGACAGAAGCATTATTGGGAAGTGCTTATTACAAAAATATGTAGTTCCCAACCTCCCCACATAACTTTATGATGAAATTATAATCCGGCACCATAACCATTATAGCTCTTTGAAACTCTCTCATGGTGTTACTTTTCTACCTACTTTCTTTTTTACTTTCCCAGCAAACAAACAACAAAACAAAGAAACTAGACACCACAATCATGATGATTTGAATCTAAATGTTGAGAGTAAATATAATTATCATTTGAAATTATAAGTGAAAACAACCACCCACCAGCATCTTTAAACTAAAAAGAAAATTAAAGTAAAATAAAATAGATTAAGTGACATATCTGGTAAGCATGGTGACATGATACCCATGTCTAAACTGTTCAACAAGGCATGGAGAGGGAGACAGTTCATGTGGTATGTAATAAAAGGAACTTGTTTTAATATCCAATGATGTCCCCCGGCCCTTTGATGTCATAATTCTAGATTAATGGCAGCCTTTAATAATTACCAATTAATACTGCTATTATTATAAATCATCATCAAATTTTATTCTTAATTTGAAAAGAACATTTTCATAGTATAAGTAAGACTATAAGTAATCTTTGCATGGGTGAAAAAAACTTTGGCTGGATATATAGATTATTTACTATTGCACCAAATTATAATGTCAAATAAAAAATAAAAATATTAAATTTAAATATATTATTATTAAAACGATTCTATTTTTAAAAATTATAAAGTATAAAATAAAAAATATTAATAAAAATTGGATATATAAATGGTGGCGAAGTGCTGACGAATCATTCTCTTGATGTGTTTCCGCTTGCCACGTGATTGTGGGATTTTCTGTAGCTTTAAGAGAGGGACACATCCAGGGAGAGGAAATTGCCTTGTTTTTTTGTTATACTTATAAATATATATTGGAGATAATTGTAGTCCTTGTTAGTTCAAATAGTCAACCGTTTTATATTCACATATATAAAAATAATTGTCTTTTAAAAACAAAAATTTAATATATCGTAACATTAATTTTAATTTTATAAAAGTTAAATATAATTTAAAAGTACATGAAAATATTTTAATTTTATTTATAAAACCAATACTCCTAATAATAATGTATATATAAATAGAAAATTACGTACGAATAATATTATATTCATAATTTAATTTAATTAATATTTAATAAATTGAAGACTGGGATTTCATAGGTTATATTACTTCTTGTTATTAGTAATAATGGCCATCAACCAACTGCCCAATTACTCCAATAAAAGTCTCATTCAGTCTCTTCCCTTTTTTGAAACCACTTTAATTTCCTCTCTATTTTCCCATTCTTCTCACATACATAAAAAAAAACCCTGTAAAACTCCATTGATAGAGAAAAAGAGAAGAAGGCTGAGCTTAATGGGACTTGATGATGCATGTAATACATGCCTTGTTCTAGGGTTAGGCTTCTCATCGACCCCGGAAAATCCACCCAAGGCCGAAGATCAAACCTCCAAGAAGCCACCAGCCATGGCGGCTCCGGCGGCGAGTTTCGAACCGTTCCTTACGCTTGGTCTTTCCGGTGAGGGCTACAGGGTTACTGTCACCAAAAAGGTTGATGTGAACAAAGGTGGTTATCTTCATCACCATAATCATCCACACCGTGAAGAACTTCTCACCTCCGCCGCCACTGTCACCGCCGGTGAATTGTATCGTCATGCTTCTCCTGATCCCAGTGCTGCGTCATCGTTTTCTAGTGGTAGGTTCAAGAGGGAGAGAGACCTTAGCAGCGAAGAAGTAGATGTAGAGAAGAATTCATGTAGAGTTAGCGATGAAGACGAAGATGGCGTCAATGCAAGAAAGAAACTTCGGCTCACGAAAGAACAATCGGCTCTTCTCGAAGAAAGCTTTAAACAACACAGCACTCTGAACCCAGTAATTCTCTCTCAATATTCATTGTTTCTCATAAATTTTACCACCTTATCAGCTCCGATTAACCAATCTTTTTCGCTCTATAAAAAACAGAATCAAAAGCAAGCTTTAGCAAGGCAATTAAACCTGAAACCCAGACAAGTCGAAGTCTGGTTTCAAAACAGGAGAGCCAGGTAATTGTAACTTAAGATCATAATTCATAAACCCCATTTATCTTTTTTGAAGTTTTAATAATCTGAAGAAGAAAAAAATGAAGAACTTGCCGTTGAACATCGCAGAACGAAGCTCAAGCAGACCGAGGTGGATTGTGAGTTCTTGAAAAGGTGCTGCGAGACGCTGACGAATGAAAACAGGAGACTGCAAAAAGAGATACAAGAGCTCAAAGCACTGAAAACGGCGGCGCAACCCTTTTATGCGAACATACCGGCGGCGACCCTCGCAAAGTGCCCGTCGTGTGAGAGAACTGACGGCGCTGGGAATCCCAAGAACCCGTTTTCAATGCCTTCAAAGCCTCATTTCTATAATCACGTCACTGATCCTTCAGCAGCATGTTAATTAATTTAAGTTTGTTAGAGCGTACGGCCAGCAAAAGAAAGTGAATTTAAAGTAGTGTGATTAATTAATTTTTAGACCAAGAAAAAAAAATAGTATAATTACTGATCAATGTAAATGATCTATTAGAAAGATAGTATAATCTATGAAGGGATTATTGCTGCTAATTATCATCGTCGTCACCGTTATTATTATTATTCCATATGCTTCATTCAATATGGTATGTAATTTTATTTTTTTTTAAAAACACATGACATATATGTAAAAAAAAAAAAATTAGCACTGTTTATATATTATTTTAATTTAACAAAATCTTATTAGCATTGACTTTGCATTCAAGCTTTCGTTAGTTGGAAATCTTTGTAGTTGAACATGGTTGAAAATCCACACCTGCTTCGAAACTTCTTGTTGCGTACTTGTCATAAAATACTTTATAGTACTTTGCAAATTCCAAACATTAATAATTAAAAATCAAATTTATTATCAAATTCCAAAATAAATTATGATTAATGTAAAGAACAATGAAAGAAGGAAAGGGTCATCCGAGATTGTGTCTGAAAATGGGAAAAATCAAAAAAAAAATTAAAAAGGTGGGTGGATATAATTAAGTGAGAGGGTGAAAGGGCGTGGGAGGAATGAAGTTAGCTCACGTTTATGTGTCTTTTTGTTCAGTTGTTTTCATATGAATGATTGATTTTTTATTTGCATTTATTTAAATTCAGTTTGTAAATTTTATTTATTTATATATCATGATTTATCGAATTAAATGAATAATGTAAGCTTTGGATAAGTGTAATGGAAATTTCAAAAGAAATATTGAATAGAAAATTAATGGAGTAGTCGTAGTCTCGTCAGATGCTCTCTCTTTAAGGAAACCGGTGGGTCCTAGCCCCACGTGATATCCCAATGGTTCTCCTCTTAAAAATTCTTAATTAATTCAAATCAGTTTAAGTTGTATATTTGATTTTAATAGCAATTCTTTTAACGAAAATTTTATACATACATAAAACTTGAATTCAAAACATACTTAAATGATATAAATTACTTATCACTTGAATCAGTCTCCGTCGACCATCTCTTACCTTTCTATTCACTATTATTTTCCCTTTAATTTTTTAATTGTTAGTCCAAAATTATAAAATGACGAGTCCATGAGAGCAATTTCCGGGAAAAGTGGTGAATTTCCTGGAAAATACTCCCTTATTTTCTTCTTCTCTGTCATCACCCCTTTCATCACTTTTTTTTAACCATTGCCATCATCATAACATACGAATCTTCAACCCTTTATGGGACTTTCAAACACAAAAATAATTATTCATTTGACGTTTGCTAAGGTATGATTTTTCGTTATTTATAATCCTTTTGCTTCTTTCAAACTTGGGTCAAAGTTAAATATATAAGCAATATAAAAAGTGGTTGAAAAGAGTAAGTTCCGGTGTGGGGAAATTGGCATATTTCCTTTAAATTAATAAAATAGCTTTTATTATTTTTTTTAAATTCTATTGACAATGATTAATTAATAATCTCATCTTTTACATGGTTAAAGTTGTGCCAACATAATTATTAGTAGATTTAAAAAAGAGGAAATCAAAAGACATATGTCTTGTGTTGGCTAATTTGTAGGTCCATGAAGCATTTATTTTAGTAATCTAAGCTTGGATATGACATTATCGGACGACAAAGCTTTGCATTATTTAGTTCTCGTAAGTTAAGGTTTCTAATTTTATAAATAATAAATAAACCTACGTGTTGTTCTGTACTTAATAGTACAATTACACCCCCCTCTAATTAGGGTTAGCTTCATTGCAATTTCTCCCCAAACATCATCAAGCTTTCATCAGCCTTTTCAAATAATGTATATACATCAAAATCAAATTATTTATATTTAACTCGGTTATAATTGTCAACCTAAAATAATTATTTAATTATATATTTATATTACGGTATCCAAATAAATGAACCGGGTAGCTTTAATACGCACTTGACCCTTGGTTGAACATTTATGTGTAAATATGAACTTAAATTTAGCTAAGTTAATCCATCCAATTATTAAAAATATGGATAATAACGGTTTCTTATGTATAGAAATTTTAAATAAATTTGACATTTTTATTATCCTATTATAAATCAAGTTATATATATATAGTGATTATATAAAATTTAAAAATATTTAAGATTTATTTAAAATTTGAAATGCATTATCTAAATGATTTAAAAATAAAAATCATAAAAGGAACTCAACCAAAAACCGACATGCTAGTTGTAATACCTCGAAACCCGAGTCATTAGTTTGAGTCAACCCGAGGCCTTTAAGTCAAGTCAATTAAACTTCCCAAGATAGTTGAACCAAGTTATATAGGTATTGGGCTTAAGTAAGGCCCAAGAGTTAAGGGTAAGTGATGGTTTTAAGTAGATGTAAAAAGGAGAGGGACCAAAAGAGTAGCTTACCCATAGTTGGTTTTAAAGGTTATAAACCCCTTCTTTAGATGGATTTCACGGGAACATTCTACCAAAAATATCTCCCACCTTTCCTCTTCTCTTCTCCTTTCTTCTTCTTTCCCATGAGAAAACAAAAAGATAGAAATTTCTTAAATCCCAAACCTAGTTTGAAGAAACCAAGGTAGTAATCATATTCCTCATCCCTTAGTCTTCATTTCAAGCCCTTAATCTTTAGTTTTGGATAAGATTTTAGAAAAATAGGTTTTTGGGAGTTGAGAGAAATCAAGTGTTTTAAGCTTGTATTTGGGTATATTTGAGTCGTAGGAGTTGTATTTAAGCTTAATCCAACCTCTAGTTGAGTAGTAATCCATTTCCTTGCTTGGTTTATTTAAAGAGGTGAAAAAGAGTTTCAAAGCTAAGGATAAAGGTAAGGTGACTCCTAGTTGAGTTGAAGGAGATTGTAGCAACCAAGGAGGCCAGTTAACACACTATCAACTCTTCCATACTCCTAGCGATAATTAAAAATGAGTTCTACATTGGGAGTAAGTTATGAAGCTTAGTGTTATATGTTAATGGTAGATTACATGATTTATGTTATAAGCATGATATGAAGCCTTATTTATGCTCCTTGTAATCACATAAGACTTTAAAAAATGTTTGGGGACCTCACTAGTGTCTTTGGGATTGAAATATAGCATTTTCGTATGTGTTTTATGATTTTTGTAGGTAGAGTATCAATACTATAAGGATAATATTGATACTTGTTATTCGTTTTGGGCAAATTCGTGAGTTTCTGGGCAAGAGTATTGATACTCTTTCAAGAGTATCGAAACTTTGGGTCATAGTTTCAAAACTGGGCATAACAGAATGTTTAAAAGTATTGATACTTATATAAAGTATCGAAACTTTAGCAGGAGTATCAATACTCCAGAGATAGTGTAATACCCCAAAAATTTAGATAATGACCAAAATGCAAATTTTGAAAGTTTGTTGGGCAAAGTAAAAAATTGGGAAAAAGTTTAGGGAATTAAGTGATAATTTCCTAAAAAAAAAATTATTCCATAAATAGATAGTTTTCTCTGAGAGTGAGGTTTATAGAAATCATATTTTTGGATTTGGAATTTTGGTAAATAAAAATTAGAAAGGGGTAAAGCCGATAAGGAATTGGTAATTTCAGATCGAATTGGAATTTTACAAAAATTGGAAGGATGTAATAAAATGGTTGGAAATATTATTTTAATATTTTAGATCAAGGAAATTTGGTTTGGAAATGTGCAATTTTTCAGATTTAACTGAAACAGTGGAATTTAGTGACTAAAATGCAATTTTTAAAAAATGCATGGGAAATTTCGTAAATCAAAGTCAAAATAATTCATCTTTGACTTTGGAAGATGATAAGGATGAGTTGTCATGGTTTTATGGTGAATATGAAGATTCATTAAGGGTGATTTGGTCTTATCTCAATTTCATGAATATTTTATTCATGTAAAGTGGAATATAATGTAAACTAAGATGAAATGCACCCAACATTTCATCCAAATTGCTTATCTTCTTCTCCATGCTGCGTGGGTTTCTCCAAAGGTGAGAGAAAGCTTCAATTCAATTTTTAAGCAAATCATTTGGGTTTGAGTATTCCTTAAAATAGAAATTTCTATGTGGAAAACGCTATCATTTGCTACCAACATTGCATGATAATCTTGTTGGTGTTCAAAGATCCCAAATTTTACAGCTTGTGTTCATATAAGGGATCATGAAATTAATGATGGATCTTGATGTTTGTGAGGTAGTAGATTTATATTCAAGCATGTATGATGATTAGAACATGTTTAATCTTTCTAGAATTTGTTCTTTAAGTTTCGGCCATGGATTGTTTGAGTGAGAAAAATTATGAAAAAAATTATATATGGGTTGGAAATGATGAAGGAAGTATTCTACAAGTCTTAGAAAAATTGGGGACCATTTTGTAATTTTTGAAAAGTTGGGGATCAATTCAGTAACTTTAGAAATTGATGGGTTATTGTGTAAGTGTTATATAATTGATGTACTATGTTGGAAAATGCTGTTTTGGAATTGAAATGAGTGTTAGATGTGAAATATGACTATTTTGGAAGTTTGAAAAGATTAGTGATATAAGTACAATAATTGTATAGTTTGGGTACTTAAATGTAATTATGCCTTTGTAAAAGCATTTGAATGGTAATAATTTCAATACTGGAATTATTGGTATTAAGAATCTAAGTGGTAAAATGGTGAAGGACCATTTTATATAAATTGGAAAAGTTGGTTCCAATGTTAAAAAGGAATTATTAAGAGTTAAGTATTTTATAGATAATGAGTTTCTAATATTATGGAGTTATTTTGGGATATGTTTATGTTAGTACAATACTAACATATATATCGTTATAAATTTGTGATTTATACAGATCGTGATTGAATTGTGATCGAAGCAAGTCAAATAGAAAATAGTTTATTGTGGACAATTAGTGAGGCACATATTTTGAATTATAAAGTGTCAAGGTGAGTGCAATACATGCATGACATTATACATGGATGTTTTATACATCATCAGGAAAACTTGCGATAAGTCGA